CACAGGACCGTGCTCACTGCACAGCATTCTGTGCCCGCGCCCCTCCATTCCAGCTGTGTTGCTGTGCAGGGCTGTGCCAGGGCGTTATGTGAAGCTCAGTGCAGAGCTCAGCATGGCAGGGGGGCTGCCTGCCCACAACAAGCTTGAGCGGCCACTTGCATAAGTGGGGCCAAGTCCGCTCGGCTCCTTTGGGAAGGCGAGGGGTTTGTGAAACCTTCGGCAGGGATTTGCCCACTGGCCGCCGCATCACCGCCGCTGTGAGGTTGGGCGCGTTCCAAGAACCCCGCGGCGCTCACAGGGCTTCCCGGACTCCCGGTTCAGCTGTGGGTTGCAGTGCTGTGCACGGCGCGGGGCCCTTGCTGGGAAGCGCAGAGCTGGGGCTGTTCTCATAGGGATGTGGTTTCGCTGCCCTGCCCCGGCAGAATGCAGGGAGCCTGGGGGTGCTCAGCCCTCTGGGGACCGTGGCTCCCATCTCCACCGTGCCCATTCCCAGACCATGCAAGGCAGCTGCCCTTCACCCCTGAGAGCAGGGATGCCCGGTTCTGTCAGCACATGGAGTGAAAAATCTTCCAGGTCCAGCCGCATGCGACGCTCCTGGTCCCTCTCCGGAGGGGCTGCGGGCTTTGGCAGTGATGCTGTCCCACGCCTCTCCTCCACAGTCCTGGTGCTGCCAGGGGCTGAGGAGTGGCAGGGGAGCCCTGAGTGGGGATGTGCCTCAGCAGGGCTTGGCGGGCGGCCACCCGCATGCATGGACATTCCTCTCATAGCTCCAGCAGGCGCCCAGGCAAGCTGCAAGGCGCTTCCTGGCAGCCCATGAGCTGTGGCCCTGTAGAGCAGCACCAAAATAGTCACTGGGACTGTGCCGTGCCTGTGAGCAGAGGGAGGCACCCTCACCACCCCTCTGCTCCAGGGCAATTCCTAAGGGAAACCTCGACGGCTGGGGGTTCCCCAGGCAGGAGCACAGAACGCAATGCCCAGCGTGGAAATGCCCAACACCGTGTGTGTGAGACCTTCGGCAGGGATTTGCCCACTGGCCCTGGGGGTGCTGTGGAGAAGCTGCAGGGCACACGGGGTGCTTGGGATGATTTCTACCTCTGGGCCTCTCACTGCATTGCTCTCGGAGCCCTGTGCCTACTGCACGCCTCCGCCCCTCCCAAAGCTCAGCGCAGGTCGGGATGCCCGTGGAGCGCAGCGCTGCTGGGGGGGGGGGGGGGGGGGACGCTTTCATTCAGGACACCGTGCCATGGCAATAAGCCCAGCTCCTCTGTGCCCTGGGGACAGAACCGTGTCCTGTATTCCAAGGGACCCTTCTCAGCCGCGCTTCGTGTGTCCGCAGCCGGTCCTGTCCCCCAGCGCAGCGCTGTGGTGGGCTCACACATACCTGAACGATGGAGCAGCGCTTACGCAGGCGGGCGGTGAGTCACTGTGGCAGGAATCACCCAGCGCCGCGGCTCCAGGAAGCCGGCACTTACGCGCTGTAAACACAATCCCGGCATCGCACGAGGGCAGCGGCCGGCGAGGGGGGGGGGGGGACGGACGGGGGACGTGCGTCACATGGGGGGCCACGGCCTCGAAGGGCGAATGGGAGGAAACAGACGAGATTGGGGAGGGAGGGGGGGGTTCATTAAAAAATAGTGCTCTTTATTATAAATTATGGAAACGTTTCCTTTCTGAATATAAATATAAATATGTGCAAAGTTTCATCTGAGTTTTGTTTTGGTTGAATTTCAAGCATGGTTTTGCTCAGCCCTCAAGGCTGGAGGTGAAGATGGAATCTTTATAAAAGACAGTGATTCACGTAGGCCTGTAAACATCCCTTTGGTTCAAAATTAAAAAAAAAAAAAAAAAAAAGAAACAGAAAAAAAGACAAAAAAGACAAAAAAAAACCAAACCACCCAACTGCTTCTCCAGGCGGGCGCAGATGAGCACTCACAAGGGGTGCACTCAGGGCATCCTCCTGCTGTGATCCCACAGGCACCAGTGCCCCACGGAGCAGTGAGCCATGCTCAGGAGTGACAGAACAGTGCTGATACCGTGGCCATTCGGCCTCCACGCAGGTGTGAGCAGACAGAATTCCATCATGGCATCACGACCAGCTGTTCCCCTCTGGCTTCATGGTGTGCTACCAGGACCGTTACTTTCCAGCATCACTGAACGATGTGCAGTAACCCAGACTGGGAGAATATTAAGGCTTAGTCTCCTGGAAAATGGCAACGAGGGCAAAAAGGCAGCAACCTCCAAGCCTGGGGCCCGGTGTGAAAGGAGCTTCCACAAGGAGGCAGCAAGAGGTAAAGTACAGTATGGGCAAAAACCACTTTCCCCTTAAAACTGAGGAACAGCGTTAGGCACCGGCTGGACTCCGGTGTGCGTCCTTCTCTTGGGCACAACTCCAGCACAACTCCAGCACAGTCCTAGCGGGTGCATCCTGGGCTGCCCTGGGCCGGGCTGCACTACAGCACCCACAGTCCGACCGGAGCGGCCCCATTGCCCCGGAGCATCCCCCAGAACAAGGGGTGCAAGGCTCAGCCCCGGGTCCTCAGCAGCTCGTCCCCAGCACTCCTCTCCTTGCATGGGGAGAGGCTGCTCGTGCCCCGCGTGTCCCTGCTGCCACGGGCGTTGTGCCTGTCCCCTGCTCTTGTGCTTGTAGCGTGATCTCCCTCCGCCAGCCCCTTAGAGGGGGGCATCGTACTGGTCCAGAAACTCCTTGATAGGAGCTGGCAGCTGAGTCATCTTTTCATAGGAGTCCAGGTGCCCGTTGACAGTCTTGCGGCAGAGGTGCTGCAGCGTGGAGACGCTGGAGGAGAGCGGGCGGCTGAGCACCAGAGGGATCTTCTCTCCACCCGAGTAAATGTAGTAGGTGCGCTTGGGATGCAGGGCCCCTCCGGGCTGCTCGGGCCCGGCGCAGGGGGTGGGCGGCATGTAGTGGTGCACCAGCTTCAGCACGCAGTCGAAGCGGGGCACGGGTTGGCTGCTGCGCGGGTCGCTCTGCAGAGAGAAGCTGCCGCCCTCGCACTGGATGCGCAGGTTCTTGGTGCCCGACTCCGTCTTGACGCTGAGAGTGAAGAAGTGCCGCTGGTCCGAGCTGTCCCTGATGAGGAAGGTGCCGGCCGGCTCGGCGCTCAGCAGCACGTTTGCCTCGCCGCCCGTCACCGTGCTCCAGTAGAAGCCGCTCTCCTGCAGCTTGCGCACGGTGTTCACCACCAGCTGGTACTCGCTCTTGGAGCTGAACGTCTTGAGGCGCAGGCTGGTGTCCAGGGGGCGGCTCATCCCGGCGGCGGGGAACTTGCTGTGGGTGACCATGGCGCACGGAGCCAGCTTTGCGCGCTCGGGGTGCTGCTGCCGGGAGCAGCGGCCGCTACACCATCACCTGCGGCACAGACGGCGGTGAGACTCGGCAGCCCCGAACCGACCCCCCCCCGGGGGGCCCGCGGCCCGGGGGCCCCCCCCCCCCCCCCGGGGGGCCCCCCCCCCCCCATCTCCATCCCCAGGACACATTACCGACATCCCTCCAGGGAGCACCCTAAGTCCCTGTTTCTCCCCACCGCGGGGGGACCCTCTCCGCCTCCCCGTCCCGTCCCGTCCCGTGCCAGTACCTGGGGCGCAGTGCCGGTCTCGGTGGCGGCCGGGGCGCGGGGCTCGTTGCGCGGCGGCGGACGGCGGCGGAGCTGCCGGGGCCGCCCGGGGAGGCCTCTTATAGCGGGCGGAGAGCCCGCCCTCGGGTTCTTCCTGGAACTGCGCGGCTTCTTGTAATGCTCCCCGGCGCCCTCCCCGCGCCCCGCCCGGCTCGGCTCGGCTCGGCTCGGCTCAGCGCCAGGCACCGCCGGCCCATTCCGGGCAGCGCGGCCGCCCCCTCCCGCTCCCATTCATGCTCTTTTCCTTCTAAGAAGAGGTGAGTCCCCGGCCAGCCCGGGGACTGCGGCCCCCTGCTCGCTCTCCCCCCACCTCCGCCCCGAGGTGCACAGCAGAGGATCGGGGGTCCCGAACCCTCAGGACCGCTCCGCGGGACCCCCGGACAGAGACGCTGCGGGATCCCTGGGTCCCAACCCGGCAGCCTTCGCGGGGAGCAGCGAGACACCCGGCCCGGCCGCCCCCATCCCGCTGCCCGCAGTGCCCCGGGGGTGCGAGGGTCCGACAGCCGCATCCTCGCGGGCAGCGGATCGGATGTCTGCGAACGGCCGAGTTTATTTCAAGCACAACATTCCAGGCTGTTGCTGGCCTCGGGTGCACTTCCCAGCAGAGCTGCAGGGGAGAACAAACGCCCTCGGTTTGCACGTTTGGGAACGGCTGGGGGTGAACCCCTCCCGGCGGAGGGCTCCGAGGGGCAGCCCCGCTCCCGGGGGGTTCGGTGCTCCCTTCCCGGGATGGAACGCTTCCCCCACGCTGGGGACGGGCAGCGCCCGAGAGCCGAGGGGACAAACTCGAGATCCCCCCGGCTGGCCTCGGGGACAACGCCGCTTTTTCCTTTAGATACCGTCCACGTCGACCCGACAACAATCCGGGCTCTGTCCCTAGATTTGATTTTAAATGGTTCACTTCGCCCCGGAGGAGCTGCTGCCCGTGCCGCCCGTGCCAGCCGGGAATAAACATGCGGAGCGCTTCTGGGAAGCCCGACTGCGGTGGAGCCTCTGCTCCGAATCGCGAACGCTCCCTGGAGCGCTGCCTGCGGCGGGCGGGGCGCGGGGGGGGGGGGGGCGGGGCCGCCCGGCTCCATCTCCCCGCCCCTTCTCCCCGCTCCGAGGCCGCGGAGCCGCTCCCGCGCGGCCCCGTGGAGGGGACAGAAAGCGCGGTGCGCTCCGGCTGGGCCGCGAATCCCCGCACGAGGGCGGGGCGATCGCGGGGCCGTCGGCACTCCGGGCTGCCCGCTGCGTTCCGCGGCTTCGCCCGGGCGGCACGGCCGCGCTCACAGCACAGCGCTCCCGCGGAGCCCCGACGACCCGGAAGCGGAAGTGCGCGGCGGCGCGTCGCCATGGCAGCGGGCGGAAGCGGAAGGCGCGGCGCTGATGGCGGCTGCGGGGGGCGCGGCGCTGTGGCGGAGGTTGGCGGCCTGGCTGCCGCGGGGTCCTCCGGGTCTGGCCGCTCTGCTCGGCCGCCTCTCCGACCGCCTGTCCCGGGGCCGCGACCGGCGCGCCCGCAGGTAAGGAGCCTTCCCCCTCCTCGCTCCGTCCTGCCGGTGCTGCGGCACGAGCGCCGTGTGGGGGCGGGGAGCGGCTTTCCCCCGCAGGGCGCGCCCGGCGGTTCTGCCTTCCTGCCTTCCCTCGGCTCGGAGGACCGCGGTGCGCCGCGCGCAGCTGAAGCCGTGCCCGTGCTCCCTAAGGAACGCGGGGCTCTTTTCGCTCTGTCTTCTTGAGTTCTTCGTTTAAGATGCGCCCTGGAGCGGGGGGGTCCCTGCCCCCGTTAACGCAAGCAGCCCCGCAGCGCGACCTGGGCCTGGGCACTGCACGGCACCCGGCTCGGAGCTGGAGGAACGGAGCCCGGGTGTGCACAGTGTGTCTGCATGCCCCCGCAGCGTGCCCAGCATGGCCCCATCGCTGTCGTGCAGCAGGCGGTGTCGGGAATGGTGTGCTGTGAGCGTCCCTCAGATGCTCCCCTTCTGCCTTTCCCATGCAGCAGAAAGGAGAAACCTCCTGGGCAGCGTCAGGGCTGGGGAGCAGGTAGTGGGTGTAGGGATCTGACGGCCCTTTGTGTGCTGGGTGCCCATGCTGTGCTGCAGGGAGTGGCTGAGGCCCTTTGTGTTGACCCTCACACTGCCGTGTTCCTCTGGGCAGTGCTGTGCTTCTCTTGTTGTGATCCTGGCAGTACCTTTGGTTGTGTTCTGCTGCTTCTGTGGGGCTGTGCAATTAGGAGTACAGCTCATGCTAAAACTAAACCATTAAAGCAGTAGAGGTGATTACAGTTCCTTGGAACCCCATGCTGGGTTCAGAGGTGATGAAACAACATGCTTTGATGCATCTTAAATAACGAAAAGGCTGTTTCTGTGGTCTTTGGGCATCACTTCTTGCTGCATTTGGTAAGAGAGCACTGGTAGGGCCTTGTATTGTGCTGCAGTGAGTGCAGCATCTCTCACAGCATGAGTGGGGCCTGCTCTTGAACAGCAGTGTCTGCCACCACAGCACATATTTACGTCCTCACTGTCTTCTTGTGGACAGCAGCCATGCTGTGGTTGTGCTTGCGGTCATCTCAGAACTCTTTGTCCCCTGTGCTCTGCTGTTTGTCCTTGGTGTAAGCTGAGGGCATCTCTGCAGACTCCTCTTTTGGTTTCGTCAGCATTTCTTGATGCAGATGCATTACTACACTGAGCCCTGGAAAGCCACAGCTGAATTCAAAGAGGAGCACTTTGTGGATCCCCGCGTGGTGACGGATGTGTGGGTGAAAGCACAGTGCTTTACCCCGCAGTTTCACTTCACCTCTCGTTTCTGCAGATGAGGTTTTTCATTGAAACAAGTCTTTCAGCTCTATCATGAGTCTGTGTACCAAAACCACAACTTTTAAAAATAGAACACACACAGAAAATCCCTCATTTATATTTAGGGCCAACTTCTTATGCAGAAGAGATTGGAGGCGAGTTCCCTTTAGATCTGTTTTCTCTTTCCGGTTAACTTGATGATGTGGAATACATGGGAAGGGTTCCCCCCCCCCCCCGTCACCAGTTTCTATTTCTCTGAAAACTCCTTTGTTGAAGTGTGGAATTTTGGTGATTTCTTCATAATGTTACGTGGTTTCTAATTGTTGCATGTTGCACCTAAAAGGATTGTGCTGCACTGACGTGGTTGCTTGAACTTTTCTTCTGTCTCTGTGAGCAGAAGGTGCTGTTTGATAGTGGTTGCTGTGCTGTTGCTGCTGTTGGCCAGAGCAAAATCCTGATTTGCTCTGTGTATGTAAAAGTCTTCAGCTTGCAGCTTAAATATGCACTGAAATTTCTGCAGTGATTTAAAAGATCAAACAGCGTAGGTGTGCTCCAAGCTGCAGAGACAGGGAAAAAAGTCAGTGTGTGGTTAATGGCTGTCAGTACTGTGTGGAAGGAATCTGGGGTCCCTCCTTCAGCAGCAGTGGGGGCTCCTGTGGAGCTGGGCTGGGTGTGAGGGTGTGGGTTAACCTGCAGTGCCAGAAAGTGACTGCTTGGAATTGTGCTTTGGGAAAGTGGATTCCTGGCCTCTGTGTGGTGGCTTCTGGAGGTATGGTTTGACCCACAGAGTAAGAGGGAAAATGGTTCTCTCCTTTGTTGATTAGTTCTTACTGTGTAATGCCAAAAAAAAACAACAAAAAATTGCTGCTGAGTGTCAGCATGGCAGCCTGTGTGCCTCTTGGGACACGAGCTGAGCAAGGTCCTGAGCAAGTTCTGTGAAGACGAACTTGAGAGTGCCTAAAAACCAGTATTTCTTGTATTTCTTTTCTGCTTTGAAAGGACCCCCTCTCCCCCCTTCTCCTTCCCCATCTACAGTGGAACATTCCAGTTGTTTCCAGCAGCCATAAGTCAATAGCACTCATGGATGTCAAGTCTGAGCATAGTCCCCATGATCTGCTGAAAGTCACCATCCCAGGAATTCTTGCACAAACTGACTCAGACTTGTGTTACAATGAGTAGTCAGTGACAAACTAGTGGATTTTCCAGGAAATGCAACTGAAAGCTGCCTGGCTTCTGCGTAAGGGTGTTCGGAAACCTTGTGAAGATCCAGCGTTTTATCATGAAGCAAAGGAGTGAAATCATCTTCCTGGAATCTGTGGTCATTCGGGCTTTGGATTATGGTAAAAACCTAAAAGTTCCTCGTCACAAATTCTGGTAAAGGTCGTAATCGAGTTTCTTGTTGGTTTGTGGTGCTGGCAGAAGGCAGAGGGGTGGGATGCAGGCTGGTGGCTGCCCCCCAACCCCGTGGGACTCGGCGTTCCTCCCGGATGGGGCGGCTGCCCCCGCTCTGTCCTGCTTGGCACTGGGCTCCTGAGAGCGGGTTTTGCAGAGCCAAGAGCTCCCTGCACGCTTTGGGGATGGAGTTCGGTCACTCGCTCTTCGATTCCTGGATCTCATGAGAGTCACTGCTGCTAATTGTGTTGAAATGTGGTTTTGTCATGTGGACAAACTCCCACCAGGAGTTATTGTATGACTGGATGGTTTTGCATGCGTGTTAAGCCTGCAGAGAGGAACAAACGCCGTTTACTTCTTGTCATCCCCTTAAGCATGACTCTCAGCAGTAAGTTGGTTTCTTTTCCAAATGACTTCAAAGCCCTGAAATTTGTTATTGCTTCTTAAAGAATGAGCTTCCTGCTGCTTCCCCTGTAGTTACTTTGGAGTTTGTGAGAGAAGCTTTGACCTTCTTTTAGCGCTTGTACAGAATGCGAGTGGAAGGAAACCATGAGTTCCTCAGCCGTGATCCTCAGCTCATATTGTGTCCCCCTCAAAACACACGTTGTCCTTGGGTGTGTTGTTCTGCTGCTGGGACTTTGTTGCTTTCAGGCACTGTGCATCTTTTAGATCTCTTTGCTTGTTTTGTGTGTTTCATTAAGGGACTTACAAATATTGTGACTTTTACAGTGTCTTTACTTGGAACAGAAACGTGTGATCTTTAGCCTGGCTGAGAGCTAAGCTAGAAATGGCAGCGAGCATCCATCATGGCAGAGCTGCAGCCTGTGTAGCTGGGGTGGAGTTCAGGAGTGATTGATGACAGGGAGAGCAGCACTGCCAGAAGCCTGGTTTGTGGGTGCTGGAAGGTTCACATCTCAGCCTCTTTAGCTTCTGACCTGTTTGCTCTCCTCCTTCAGTGTTCTGGTGAAGGGGTTGTTTCCCTCTGCCAGCTGGGACAGCAGCTGATGATGTTAACACCTGCCACCTTTTGCATATGGTTTTCTATTTCTAGGTTTGGTTTCTGTGAAATATGGAAAGGGAAAAGCCTTCTTGCCTTTGTGGATCCTTGGGATGTGTTGGCCCTGGTTGCAGCTCCTCCTTTGCTTGGAGGCTGTCTGTAGGAAGCAAAGGCACACAGAATTCCTCCATCTCTCTTCACAGATCATCATGGCTTCTCCTGGCCCCACTGCTCACCCCGCCGGTTCCTGTGATCACAGCCATGCCTTGCTCCCTTTGCCCAGAAGGAGCACACAGGTTCCAGTGGATCAGGAATCTGGTTCCAGAGTTTGGGATCTCCAGCTCTCACGTCAAGGTGCTTTCTTCTCCAGCTGAATTCTATGAACTCTTGAAGGTAAGCTGTGGGTTCTGAGTCTGAATGTTCTTTGGGAACAAGCAGCAGGGCTGAGGTGAGGATTTGTTCCGCACGGTTGCACCAGTCTTTTGACAGCATGTGTTTGAAGTGCATTCAAGTGCTTCTGAAACATGATCTGGGCTGCAGCAAGCTGTTGGATTACAGGCCTTGTGTGGGCTGTGCAGGTAGGGTGAGCCAGCAGCTCCCAGCCCTTGGCTTCAGCGGTGAGCAGAGGAGGAGGGGGAAAGAAGGGAAGGAGAGCTCTGTTGACCGGGGTCTCCTCTCACCCCCAGGTGGAACGAGGGAGGAGGGCAAATGCTTGGCACAGAGCCTTCATGTAGATGGCATGGAAGGCTGTGATGCTGCTCGTGGCCAGCTAACGTGTCCCTGCTTAAGCAGCTGTCCATCTTGAGGAAAGCATTAACTTGTTTTGCTTCTGAACAGCATGAGGACTGTGGCACCACTCAGTGATTTCTCACAGACTGAGAGCAACTCTGAATTTAGATCCAGTCAGGTTCTGAGTAGTTCACAGGGTGGGATACAGAGGTTTAAAGCAGAATGAAAGCCAGGCTTGCTAGTGTGACACTGATACAGCCCAGAGCTTGCAGCTAGTGCAGTGTCACTGCCCTTGTGTTGAAGAGTTTTAGCAGGGGACAAGTTCCTCAGCTTTCCAGAGAACATTGGTGGTTTTTTTTTCCTGCTTGAATTGTGGGTGCAGCAGTGGTGCTGATGTTGCTCTAGAAAGACCTGTGTGTTTTACATCCTTGCTGTCAGTGTGCTGTTACTTGGTTGTGCTTTTCCTCAGGTGAAACTGGAGTGTTTCTGTGGTTTGAACAGTTAGATCCCAGCCATCACAGCGACTGTGAGTGAATCTGAATTTATTTTCTACTACTCTCAGGTGCAGATAAAAACAGCCCAGCAGCGAGTGGTGATGGCTTCACTGTACCTGGGAACTGGACTCCTTGAACAGGAGCTGGTGAGTATGAAGGAGGGTTGAGAAATGGGGGTGAGTGCAGAAAGAAAACACTTCCCTCTGCAAAAAGCATCTTGTTCTGCAGGTGTGGGAGCTGTGTGCGAGGTGCAGTTGATGAACTTTGATTTCCTTAGAACTTTCATACAGATTTACTTGTGTACATTTTTTTCCTCTCACTGAGAGCTTTCTCATGGTTCTTCACTGCGTTTATGTGTTTATGCTTGGGATGGAGGAGGGAGATGTATGCAGCTCTGTTTTAAGCCTTCAACAGAGCCTTGGAACTAGTGAGCACATGAATTCATATGAATGAACCAGCCTGGGTGTTTCTGACTGCCAGGGGTTACTGGCATAGTGCTCCAAGGGCTTCTGCAGAACTGGGGGATCATGCTTGATTTTCCTTGTCTGTATGTAGCCCCGTGTTTTGTCCTGCAAATGCAGTATGCACACTCAGTAGTAGCTCTCTGCATTTAAGACAGAGGTCAGTTTTGCTTTGTGTTGTTTACCTTTCCTGTTTCCTGTCCTTCCAGAAACAAAAGCATTCTCTAAGTCCTTTAGGGAGAAGTCTGACCTTGGCCAAATTATTATGTTAGAATCAAATTTCACTGCAGGGTAAAGGTGGACAGAGTCCTGCACAGCAGTTTTTGCCTGGTTTTGTCTGGGCTTGTACACGAGGCTGGAATTTGTATGTGACAGACTTGTAGCCAGGGCATAAAACTGCCTCTGTGTAATTTGTGCATTCCTGCCAAGGCTTTTTGTTGGTAATGAAAGTCTGTGATTTGGGAATGATGCTGAAACTTTTTCTGCTGAAGTTAATTGCTCTTCAGAGGCTGGAAGAATGTGTGCCTGTAAAATTGATGCCCTTTCCTATGCTGCTTCAGGCTGATAGAGTAGGATGGCAGTCTGGCAGATGTGGTGCCCAAACTAGCAGTGTTTTGCATGACTAGGAAACACTCAGGGTGTGGAAACTTTCACCACCACTGACCTCCTGGTTTCTGAGCACTTTCCTTACAAAGCTTGACTTGCTTTCTGTAATGAGTAGTACAATCTCTTTCTGCAGGTGAATTGCTTAGAAGAAACACTGGAGAAATCATTGCAAGCAAATGAATCACCAAACCTCAGAGTTTCCATTCTTCTTGACTACACCAGGGGATCTCGGGGTAGATATTCTGATACCTTCCTTTCTTCAAAAGCTTATTTTAGTCAGGCTGGACATGCTGTCATTTTTCAGAGAGGCTGTCTTGGCTGATGGGACCTACAGGCTTAAATCACATCAATTTCAAAACCTGTCCTGTTGTTTACCAGTAATTGTGTATTCCCAGAAAATTCTCAACTCTTGTTCAGGAAGTAGTTGATAGGAGCCAGAAGATCACAGGGTCAGATGCTGTGCTCTGTGCAGCTTGGGCTTTCTTGCTTGCCTAGTTCACTTGTCAGTACATTCGTCCTCATTCTTTGTGCTCTTTTATATTTTCCTGTTGAGGAGGAGCAGGGCAGTGGAAGTAGCACAGTGACGTTTTGCAGGCTGTGGTGGTGCTGAGTGTGAAATGGTGCCCATTCCAAGCCCACTCACCTACAGATGTACGACTAGATATCGACGTTACTGCTGACCTAAGGGCAAACTAAAGGGATTAAAAAGGCAAAAAATGCTTGTAGCTGCCTGGTGCTGGCACTGTGCCCTGCCAGCAGCCTGCAGTGAGGAGCTGTTGTGCCGTCGTCACGCGTTCCTCCCCCGTGCTGAAGCAGTGTGTGAAAGCTCTGTGTCTCCCAGGCAGGAAGAATTCTCGCACAATGCTGATCCCACTGCTGCAGAGATTCCCTGAACAAGTGCGTGTCTCCCTTTTCCACACCCCCAACCTGCGTGGGCTTCTCAAGCTCCTGATTCCAGAGCGTTTTAATGAGACCATTGGGCTGCAGCACATCAAGGTGTATCTCTTTGATGATAATGTCATCCTGAGCGGGTGAGTCCTTTCCTCTTCAAGCCTTTCTATGGTTGATTTAGCTGAGCTTTTGATGCCACCACCAGAGTTGTCTGGACTTCTCTATTTGCTCCTGGTCTCTCTATTACGATCATAATGATGCTTTTCTAATATGGAAAAGCAACCGTTGGTCTTTCACACGATCTTCTCATAGGGAAGAGTCTTTCTCAAAAGGGAAAGACACATCCTCGAGATCCAGAAGAAGATGGCACATTTGTGCTTTGGTCTCATTATATGCTGGGTGGGATTTGTAACCTGGGCTGGGGTGTTCAAGTTTGTGTGCCTGTACTCTGTTCTGGAACTCTTCTTTTCTCTCCTAGTGCAAACCTGAGTGATTTGTACTTCACCAATCGTCAGGACCGCTATGTTCTCCTGCAGGACTCTCCTGAGATTGCAGACTTCTTCACGGAGTTGGTGGATGCAATTGGAGATGTGTCTCTGCAGCTACAGCGAGATGATACAGTCCAGATGATGGAGGGGATGGTACACCCCTACCAAGGTAGGAGGGTGTCTCCTTTCCTGGTTGGATGATGTGATCCAGAGGAAAGGAGCGATTTGTAACTTGGTATCAAGGTCTGTAATTTTAGATGTGTGCACCTATACTGAAAGTTTTGTGAATATAGGGCAGTTTTGGTAATTAGTATCTTGTAGTTGAGTCTGTTCTGGGAATCAGATGGGCGCTGAGTAAGGAAGAATACTGAGAACAATGGGTTTTTCGAGCAGCTGCTCGTCAAGTTTCTACCCCTCTTAGGGTTGAATGTTTTTGTGTTAACCCCTTGTTCTGATATTGGTGTCTGGCTACTCAGTAGGTGATGCAAAGCTCTGTACCTTTAGGTGTCAGACGTGATCTCTCCTGGTTTTCCTACAGGGGATAAGGTGAGGTACTGTGAGATAGCAAATCGAAGAGTGATGGAGGTGATCGACTCTGCCAGGACACGACAAGAACTCCTTCATGCAAAGACTTTCCACAGCAGCCAGCAAGGCAGCTCCACGTTACCCCAGCATGACTCTGAAGCATCTGAGGGTCTGAAACCAGAACCTGACACGTGGATCTATCCCTTAATACAAATGAAACCTTTTGGGATTCAAATAGATGAGATGGTCACAGAGACGCTGCTGACAGAGGCTGAACGAGATGCCAGGATATACCTCACCACGGGCTACTTCAACCTGACACAAGCTTACATGGACCTTATTCTGGGCACCAGGGCAGAATATCGGATTCTTCTGGCCTCACCAGAGGTGAATGGTTTTTTTGGTGCCAAAGGGGTGGCAGGTGCCATCCCTTCTGCCTACGTTTACATAGAACACCAGTTTTACAATGAGGTCTGCTGCCTTCACCAGCAGGAGAGGATCCAGCTGCAGGAGTACTCCAGGGCTGGATGGACTTTCCATGCCAAAGGTAAGATGTCTGTTTCTCAGGAGGACTTGCTCAGAAAGCACGTGTGCTTTGCATATATTTTGATTGTGCAGCTGGTGAGGGAGGGGATGGTTGGGTGCTGAGTCTCGATTCAACCTCCAAAAGCACCCAGCCAAGATTTGAACATCCTGCTTGCCTAAGCCTGGAAGATTTGAATCACCCAGGAGATAACCATGCAGAGTCATATCTTGCCTCTGGATTTCCAATTTAAATGTAGTCCTAGGGATTATACAAGAATCTTCCTGATGTTGACACACACGCTCAGTGTGAGTGAAAGAAGGCATCTAGATGGTTATTGATACACACATATATGATTGTGGTAGTAATTGTGATTCCTGTATCCCTCTTGATGGTTTGGGCAAAGAGAAATGATGGCTCTGTCATGGGCCCAGAGCTGTGGGCCTGTTGAGGTCCTGGATTCTGGGTCTTCCTGGAAGCAGGGCTTTGTGGGGTGACCCACACTTCAGAGAATTTGTACCAGCTCCCCTTTATGGCACATGGTGAAGTGCAGGGTACTGATTAGGTGCACCCTTGTGCCTTCTGGGAGCTGGAGGGGAAGTTGCTGAGAAATGGATATTGCTTAACAGATGTAAATGATAAAAAAAATAAATGAAGTACTGTCATCATAGCTTTCTGCACAAGGCCCCAGGTTCTTTCTTGACAGCACACTCAGGCCAGTCACAAGCCCACCTTGACCAAAGTGTGAATATTTTTGCCCTGACTGGTTGCTGCTCATTGTCTCTCTCAGTTTTCCTTCCAGAAAATCCAGATGCTGATTCTACTCCTACATTATACACAGTAGAATGAAGTCATGCAGATAGTTGAGGACACTTGGCTGCTTACAGCGGGAGGTGTACAGTGTGCAGCTCACTGTGAGTAGCACCCAGCCACACTGAGGCAGTTCTGCTGTGCGTGGCAGCACCTTCTGCTGCTGCTGTCACTGTCTCACTTCCTGCAGTGGCTCACCGGTCCCCCAGGGCAGCGTGGTTCCTGTAAGCAGTGCCCCATCTGCCAGTGCTAACAGCCAGCTTCCCCAGGCTGTGCAGAGGGGCACTGTCACTGTTTGCTGCGTGTGGCTGCTGAGAAGGGTGGAAGGATGCACCCTGAGCCAGCACAGGCCTGCTGCAGGGCCCTGACCAGTAGTTCAGCTCTGTTTGTTTGTTTGAGATTAGCTGCTAACGACTGTGGGAATGCCTCTATCTAACCGGCTTCCTGCGGGGCTGTTGGGAAGTAGGTTCAGAGGTGGCAGGGAGAGAAAGCTGCTGAGTAGGCCTTCTCTTGTCTAAAGAAAATACACACGTGTTGCTGAGTTGCCTATATATAGAAGCTGCGAGCCTTCCTGACGCGTGCTGTGCCCTGGTGGCAGTGACATCAGCCTCTGCAGCTGCAAAGCCCTGCCTCGGTGCCTTGTGGTGCCTGCCTGGCTGGAAACATTGTGTGTGCTGCCTTCCAGGAAGCACCTGCTTGAGGGCTCTGTGCTTTGTAGGTTGCTCCTCTTGCCGGGCACTGCTCGCTCCCAGTGGGGTTTCCCTTGTTGGCCTTTGCTGTGCATGGCAGCTCTCCCAGTATCCAGAGGGCGCCTGCCCATGCTCTGTGTGCTGCAGCAGGAGGCTGTGGGCTGCCCGGGGCTCTGGGAGCAGTGCGAGGGGCTCAGCAGAGCTGTCTGCTCTTCAGGAGTCTTGCAGTGTGAGGGAGGGCAGGGCAGAAGGGGAGAAAGGAGGAAACCTTGGGGCAAGTGAAAGGTAACCACCTGGAAGCCTGGCTCCTGGAGTGGGGCACGACTCTTGGCAGTGCCTGTTACGTGCTAAGATGAGCCTGCCTGCAGGCGTGTGGACCAGCAGGTTTCTGGGTGGAGTGCTGTGAGTGATGCAGAGCTATCTTTTGGGATTAGGGTCCCTTCCATGTTAGCGTCAGGTGACAAAGTGCCAGGCAGGTGGCTGTTTGCTCTGAGATAAGCCTGTATTGCTGCTATTGAGTAGTGGCCGGGAAACTGCTCTTCCTCTTTCTGGAAAGGTGAGTCACTGTTTGAGCAGATCCTGCCAGGTGGCCATAAAGCTAGAGACACAGTAAAGGGCTGCTATGGGGCTGCTTAGAAAGAGCAAGGCAGTGGCTGCTGCCTGGCATGGCTCTGTGTGCACAGATCCTCCCAGCTGGGGCATCGTGCAGCTGCCACGATTGCTGGCACAGCCTGCAGGAGGTATGCTGCTGCTTGAGTACCTCCTGGGCTCCTCACCTTCCACTGCACCCCTCTGCACCACCGTGGGGCGGTCCGTGGGGCAGCCACAGCACGGGCAGTGCCAGCTCAGGGCCTGGAGGTGCAGCTGAAAGCAGCAGTGAAGCTGCTGATCGTGTGATGCTGGGGGCGGGGAGGAGGTTACAGGAACCAGCGGTGAATCGGCAGCTTCTTACTCAAGGCATTCTTGGAACTGCTCTGGGGCTGAGTTAGGAAACCTGCTTCTATTTTAAGGCCTAGGTGGTTTTTATGGTGCGATTTCTTTGTTGCAGTCTCCGTGTGACTGGCAGTGGGGATCAGCCATCCCTCAGGAGCTGCTGGGGCTGCGCCCCCTGGGGAGGGCAGAGCTGCGTGGTGGGCGGCCTTGTGAGCCTTGGTCCTGGCAAGAACTGGATTCATCTTCTGGGGAAGGATCACTCCTCAGGAAGCGAGTGGGCGTAGTAATTAGCACTTCTCTCAGCAGTGCTGCTTTCATGTGAGCTCACCTGTCAGAGCAGGAAGACGCCTCTTCATGCCGCGGTCTTGTGAGGTCCCAGGAAGGCAGTTGTTCACTGTGCTCTGCTTCTGGAACGGACTGCTGCAGTGCTCATGTGCCTGTGTGGCACTGCACCCCTTGATGAAGGTTTTCTTTTTGCTGCAGGGTACTGACACACTGTTTGCCTTATGTCAGTGCATCTCAGGTGCTGTGTTGCAAAATGACCTCTAACTTAATGACAATTACTCGTTCTGAACTTTGGGGGCTCTCTGTGCAGTGCATTTACATTCTTAAGGGCACGACCCAGCAGCCCCTGTGAAAAACATGCACGTTTGGGCAGTGCAGGCTGTGCAGCTGTACCCCAAGGATCACACAACCATCCAACTTCAGGGGAGCGTGTTTGAGGGCTTGCTTTGTGTCACGATCACTTACATTGCTGTCAATCTAAAGTGTTTAATTCATTTCTTCCAAGTGAAGCAATTGTTTGAGGCTACCCCAGTCATTTCCTTTGTCTGCCACACTTCCTTTCTTCTCCTGTTTTTCCTGCAGGCCTCTGGCTGTACCTGGCAGGGAGCAGTCTTCCCTGCCTAACCTTGATTGGGTCTCCTAATTTTGGATATCGATCCGTTCATCGTGACTTGGAAGCTCAGGTTGCAATAGTGACAGAAAATAAAGCTTTGCAGCAGCAACTCCACCAGGTAAGCAGCTGGGGAGATAACGTGGATGCTGTGCTTGTTGGTCACTTAGGGAATGCTGATGACGCAGCTGCAATAAAAACCTGCAGCCACGATAATTCAAAACCTTCTTGAGCATAGGAAGTCTCAAGGAGCTGTCAGTTAAGTGACTGTTGATGAGATGCCTGCTACGAGTGCCTGTTTCTGGGAAATGGAGTCCATAATGGGAAAGAACATGTGTCCCCAGTGAACTCAAGCATCGCAGTGCTCATACACTGCATGCTGAGAGACACAGAGGGGATCTGCTGGCTCTGTGTGCTGCTCATGCAGCACGTTCTCAGGCCTTATCCCCCAATATTTGGGCATTGCCGAGGTAGCAGCATGCTGAGCTGATGAGGTCGGGCCCTCGGGACCTCCTGTCTCACACTTCTGTGGGACTTTGCTTCTCAGGCGTTTGGGAAATCCTTTGCAGGACTGTGAGTGCCAAGCAGTTAGCCCTTGGGTGGCTGCCCGTGGTTGTGGAGGTGAATGAGGGCAGCAGATCTTTGTGCAATTTCTACAGTGAGAGCATTTCTGGGCTGCTTGGATTGCATTGCCCACGAAATTACACGCGGCAGCTCTTAGTGTTGACACAAGCATTTTTCAGTGGCTTAATGTTCAGTTTCCTGGCTTTTTCTTTTCTCATTAGGCAGCTTGGACTCTTCAGCATTCTTGCTGCTTCTCCAGTCCCTGTCAGTCTTGACTCTGAATCTTTTATGGGAGCTGACATTGTCCCCAGCAGTTTCTCTTGTAGTGCTGTGATGTGAGCAGCGTTGGTTTGGTGCCTCTGTGTGCGACTCAGGGATCTGAAAAATGCCTTGTATTAAGCTGAGTCTTGGCACAAGAAGGCACAGATCAATGGGAATTGCCCTATTGCATCAGGGCTCTTCCACAGAATGAGTCAGAGTGTATCTAATCAAAAACAATTCTATTACTGGAAGAGTTACTTGAATATTTCAATTCACATCTTGCCTCTACTTGTTCCTAATGGAAGGAGAGAATCAATGAAAACATGACAGAGGAATTTTCTCAAACAGCACAGCAGTGATCTGATTTAAAGGCTCTAAATGATTCCTGTTTGCTGGAAGCTGATTCTGAGATTGGCTGTTTACTGTTCTGTGATCTTTGTTCAGAGGACTCGACTTTATGCCGAGGTGACGCAGGCTCTAATGGAGTGCTCTCTCTTTCTGTGCAAATTACAACTCCATTCAGCACTGCAGCTGAAATGCCATTTTCAGTTACATGAGCAAACAGAATGCCCAGTGCCTTTCTCAGGGAATCGGATGCGTTCTGGGCTTTTCTATCTGACATTTCTGTCTTTCACCCTTTAAAGCTTCCTCCTCCTTAGTAATAACCTTTCAATAACAACTGAGCTTTTAATATTGCAGCTGATGTGCAACAGCCACCTCTTAACAGTAATCTGTAATATTGCACTTGTGCATATGTAATATGTGCAGTGCCACGAAGCCCCTTTGGTTGTACAGCATTCAGTTGCAAACATCAGCAGCATTTTTGAAGCAGGGGGTTGAGAAGAACGGGGGGCTGGGAGTCTCACTGAATGAGCTGAGCATTCTGTGAATTTCAGTTCAGATAACTGCTCTCACTTCAGTGATCAGCTTACCTCACTGTATCAGATGACCGTGACACAGAGGCTTCTTAGCAGCACTGATGGTAGCATGCTGGGTTTCTAAAATTAGGCTGACTTGGCTCACACACACTTCTGTCTGTTCCTGCTTCGTGTTTCTGTGCTCCTTTCCGATGCCTGGTTCCTGCTGTCTGCATTGTACTCTGTGTTCTTTCTGTTGTTTGTGACAACTAAACTAGTCAAGAGATCAAGTACAGACTTACAGGAGATGATCTGCTCCTTGTTTGCCTGCAAATCTAGAAACCTAACTGGTTTTGGTAGGAAAACCACTTCTACGTTGGATCAGAAATCTGCTTACACGTGTGACACGGGCACATATTATCATCATGATGGTTCATTTCCTCCTTCAGCAGTGCTGTGTACACAATGAAGAAGCCTAAGTGTTTCTGGTAATATAGTTGAAGTCATGACTGCACATTCATTTGAAAACACAGTGCCTGAGCTGTGTCTAGAAAGGAGTGCGTAAGCCAGTCTCTTGAGATTATGATAAGGTTTCCTTTTCTGGCAATTACAGCAAGGGATTTAGGATTTTTCTCAAACTACAGCTGTAAGAGGGCTGAGCTTCAAGGCACACAAAGGCAAAGCCTTCTGCCTTTGCTGTTTGTAGAGTTAAATTACTAATTGTTGAGGATCACTTTGTTAGTGCAGTTACTTCCAGAAGGAGAGCTGTGGCAGGACAGCCCCTGTGCTGCCTCCTCGGTGGCTTCATGGCTCTGTGAGCTGTGCTGCATGGAATGAGGCTCTTATGCTCAGGCTTGTGAGGATCCTGGCAGGATCGTGGCCAGTTTTCTGCCTTGTCTTACAGGCTGTTCTATCTAATTAAAGGCTTCTAATTTCCTGGGATGATTTTTCTCTGTACAGGAGCAGGAGCAGCTGTACCTCTGCTCAGGTGTTGTGTCGTCATCAACGTTTGAGCAGCCAAGTCGACACGTGAAGCTGTGGGTGAAACTGGTAACGCCTCTGATCAAGAATTTCTTTTGAAAGAAGCAGAGTTGCAGCTTTGGGTGAGTTTTCTGCTGTTCTTTTGGAGAATTATTTTATAACAGATTGATTATTTTATAACAAAGAGGCGGGCATTGGTGGCCAGAGCAGCTCTCATCTATTTAACTGGCAACACTGCTGATGGAAATTATTTTCTGTGAAAGAGTAGAGCAAATTCTGTGGTCCAGAAATAAAAACACTCCACTGTCAGAGGTTCAGTGGTTCAGAGCTGACTTTCATCTGAAAGCTGGGAGGTGGAGGGTGTGAAGGTTTGTCTCTGTGGGAGAAAGGTGAGTGTTCCACAGTACGTGGGACTGCCTGGGTCCCATTGGTCCCAGGCAGAGGTGCTGGGATTTGTGGGTTGTGCAGGTTGAGCTGTGGGCAAACTGTGCCAAATCTGCCTTTTTTTCTATCTGATGTAAACAAATATTTCCATGCAGGAATACGTGCTGTGTATGGCTTGATAAACTTGTGCTTGCAGTTAGCACTGAGTGATCAAACACATACCTGTGAAAAGGAGGAGAGCTCTGAGAAGGAAAGGAGTCTGGGTGGTTGCATGCTGTTCTGTTAGGCTTGCCTCAGCAGCCTGGCTTGAACCAATGCTCTATAAGAAACCACCCACTGAAAGCCAGTATCCATCCTGAGAAACTCTGTGCACTGCAAGAGTACTGTCCACACAACAGCAGTTCCTGCACTGTCTTTATTAATGCTTGGGCTAAGTTACACGAGGGGTTTGGGGCAAGTGAAAGCCTTTGCTGCTTTCCAGGCCATGGGAGTTTAGACCTGCAGAAGCAGAGCGACAGCAGCAAGGATCCACTTGGCGGCTTTTTCTTTTGTCTTTAGGTTGAAGGTCCAGACGTAGGTGGGACCTCGCATCCGTGTCTTATAGACAGGGCATTCGTAGACGTTCTTGGTGTCCATGCGGTCCACAGGGACGGCTCTGATGAAGATGACTGGCATCGTGGGGCTCAGCTCCTTCAGCCGAGCGTCTGCGATGGCCCCGGAAGGGATGTCCCATCGAGCTCCTGCACGGTGACACAGCTGTCATGGTACCAGCAGCCCCATGCATTTGCACTTCAAAATGGCTGCTTTTTAACTACTAATGGGTGGGCAGGGGTTGTTGTAGCAGCAGGGTTGCAGAGGGTCAAGTCTGAAGGTTGGGGGGGCCGTGGTTGAGGGGTCGCTGGGGCTGACGTGTTGGCGTCCCACTGCGACTCATGAATGCGTTCTGCCTTCTGTGTGTGGGATGTCTGAACCAACTGTGCCCCTGCTCGGCCCTTCAGTGCAGGTTGGCAGGGCAGTTGCCTAGGGGAAGGTGGAACTTGGCTGTGGTGGGAGCTACGGTAGCTATCTGACTTGCTCTGTGCCCTTGTTTAAGCTGACTCTTGGCACTCTGCTGTTACTGCCATCTCATCCCCTCTCGTTCTTTTTAGCAGTAATTATTTATGGTCTGAGTTTCCTGGTTTGTCTTACCTGCACGTTAGACAGTAGTGAAATGTATTTATTTGTTAGAACCGTGCAGCTTAAAGCCGCTGAGTCCTCAGGTTCTCAGCAGGCAGCCTGCCTTTAGTTTCTGGTTGGTGAAACTCTGCATGAAAACCGGGCTGCTGCTGCCCTCAGCTGGTGTGTGTCTGACACTGGCATGGGATAAAGGCTCTCCTGCTTGGAGCTTTGTAAAAGCTGCCCCCAAATTTAGTAAGTTAGTGAGTATTCACACCTGCTGTGTTTGCAAGAGTTATTAGTTCTGATTTCTCTGTGCCTGAAACATCTCCTACAGGATGTAATCTTTTACCTTCCATGAATAAGCCATGTACATAGGAGCCTTCTCTGGGTGGAGCTGTCATATCCTCCTTGTTTTTCTTGGTCACTTCCACTGAAAGGCACATCTTGTCCAGTGGCCATTCGTTTTTTCTAGCCATGGACTGCATGATAGCAGTGAGGAAAGACTGGGGATTGAAGAACCCTGCCAGCCACACCGTCACAGGCAGCACAAAGTCCGTTGTCCAGACTTCAAGTTCCTGGAAAACACAACAGCAAAGTGCTGTAGAGCAAAGCCTGGCCTTTGGACAGTGGAGCACAGCTCTGATGTCACAGAGCTGAGCTTCAGGTGCTGGGCAGCTGGGGTGGTGTGGTCAGAGATGAATAAATATCAGATTGCACTGCAGCTATTCAACTCCAACTGTTAATTTGGATTGTAGTAACTCCTGCTGTTGTTTCTTTTTTAAATACATGGTTTTATTAAACATATATATTTTTTTTCTGAGGTGTATAATGTTACATTAGTCATGTTCTTTCAGAACAGTGTCACATACTAATGGTGATCTCGTCTCAACCTTGGGCTCTCATTGGGATAACAGTGCAGGTGCTTTAAACTGCTTAAACTAACACTGAAAAATAAAACAGTTCACTACCAGTGAGTCCTGATCTCCTGTGGTATCTACTTCATCCACCAGCTTTAGTCTTCAAAAGAAATCTGCTCACCCTAATACGAAGGAGCAGGTCTGCATACCAAGCTCCTAAGCTGAGAAGAGAGGGGTAGGCATAACGCGTCCAGGATTCAGGCACGCTGTCATAGAAGAGAGCAGTGGCCAGTTCCTCCATATCTGATGTAATGGTTAGTTCTCCCTTTAAAAAAGACAAGAACTGGGGCAGTTGGAGCTGGAAGAAGCAAGGCTGATGGCAGTGTCTACTTCCAAGCCCTGTACAAAGCATGGGGCTGGTGTAAAAGCAAAGGCAGGCAGCAAAGTGCTTTGTACAAGATGGGCTCTGAAACGAGCAGCAGCTATTTGCAGATCACAGGAAAGGGTTGGGCAGGAAAAGGTGCTTTCAGCAGTGCCTACCTTCAGCCCCAGGTCTAATTCTTTCAAAGAGCGCCTGATTTCGTGGGTCAGGATGTTCATTCTTTCACACTCCTGGAAGGCAACCACCACGTACGGTGTCTTATCCTCTGCTTTAGCCATGATCTCTGCCATGTTGAAGGGCTCTGGCAGCTTCTCCATGATCTCATCTAGGACTGACTTCACCTGGAAACAGTAGAACATAAACCTGCTGTTATTCAAGGAAAAATGCAGTGAGTTCACAGTTAAAAGGCAGTAAGGTTTTTTTTTCTTTCTCTGCCTTTGTGCTCTCCTGTGCTTCCTCCTTTGTTACTCGTGCTCCTCTCTTTGCCTGCTCCTGGATCTTAAAAAGCTGCAGCTCGTTGTTAATAGCCAGGAAGCTAAGGAGACTGAAATTCAAGTATAAATGCAAAGGAGCCAGGAGGAAAGCTTTCATTTTTTTAATTAAAATTTTAAAAAGTCTGTGTTTTTAATAGTTGTTCTCATGTGTGGAAATTACAAGGCGTGCTTTATCTACTGAGCACAGCATGTGACCTGTGTTATGCCACTGCACCTCTCTGCCCAGCTCTGAGCGCTGCTGCCTTTGCTAACTTCACTGTTTCACACTGAGCAAAGCCAGACGGGTTGGGCAGCATTTCTACCCTGTGGGTTTCGTGGGGTGAGTGGAGGATTGCTGCTGATGGTGCTCAGTGCTGGGTGAGCGGGGCCTGCCTGCTCTGGGACTGAGGTGGGACCAGGGGAGGGGGAAAGGGGCCCACGGGACACCATGGCCACTGCTGTGTGCGCCGTGGCTCTGGGCTCTGCTTCCTCAGCAGCTGTAGAGGGTGAAGCTCCTGCTGGTGTTCACTTACAGTGCCAGTACCAAGTGGGGTGAGGAGCCTGGGCATGGGGCCCCAGTGCAAACGTGCTCCAGCAGAACCTACTTGGCAGGGCTGTGTGCCCTTTGTGGAGCCTGCTGTTGTGCCAGCATCCCCTCTGCAGCTCCCGCTGTGATGCTGAGCTGTGTTCCCTGCTCAGCTCTGTCCCCCCTGCCAGCCACCCCCACTAAAGCAGCAACATCTTCACTTACCTTTTCCTCGCGGGAGGCTCCTGAGCCACCTCCAGCATCAGATTCCTTGGGCTGCATTTCTAAAACGGTCCGAAAAAGCCTCTCGGAGGTGATGGTCAGGAAGCCGATCTCAGCGTTGGGATGGAGGCCATAAAGGTAGGGGCTCTCTGGTGGCAGATTGTCATCGATGTACTCGTGGTAGCCCTGGGCACGGGTTGAGCAGATATGTACACATAAGTGCAAATTTCCTTTCCACCTTGAAAAAGGCATCGTCACTTTCTGCTGTTGGTGCTTCACAGCTGCCTGCCGGTACTTAGGATGATTTTCCATTTGTCTTACCTCAAATCTGTTCCTTACCACCCCAGCCACAGGAGCTGTTTTTCCAGTGATGCTGCATGTTTCCACTGGATGGAAAAAGCAGAGCTGTTTTTTTTCCTATACTCCAGCTTTGGGTTGTGTGAGGGAACTGTGACCAGCGTGTGCTAATCCAGAGCGGTGGTTTTCCACAGCAAACTGTAATGCTAAGTATGGCCTCCTGCGCTGAGAATGCTCTTCCCTACCTTATAATCCATGCTGGGTGGGATCAGGAACCCCGGGGCCAGCTGCAGCTCCCCGTCCAGCATCTCCACACTGATGTATTCGCTCAGGTAGGTGCGGCACAGCCGCCGGTCCCAGTCGTCTGTGATGTGCCCTCCGTACATGATCTCACCAAAGAGGTAGCGGAGGTCATCCCACGGCACCTACCCAGAGGCACTGCCATCAGCTGGCTGCAGGCCTCGCAGGGCTGCTCTGCTGCGTGGTAGGGCTGCTGCGCAGGCCTTTACCTTGGGGTTGGCCTCCAGGTAATTGTACAGGACGTTAATGGAGATGGTCAGGTCCCCGTTGTTGAAGGGGTAGGAGCGGTTCCAGCCCTGAGCACCAAACTTGCGCCGCTCCGCCACCACCGCGTGGAAGTAGCAGAGTGCAAACAGGATGCACTTGAACTCGATCTCTTTGCTGCACATCTCCAGCGTGTCCTGCAGGGGAACGGCAGCGAGAGTGGGCTGGAGAGTGAAGAACCCACGTGGGTGACAGCAGAGGAGAACTGAGGAGTATACATGTACAATAATGAAGCAAACCCACATACAATTCCATCTCTAAGCGGTTAACCATTGCCCTCATTTTTTCCATTACAACACTTCGGATCTATACATGCTCCTATGACTCCCTGTATGTGAGATTGCTCACTGGGAGGGAGCAGTGCAGGGAAGCAGCATGGCTTACCTGGGAGAAGAGATCGAGGGCTTTGTGCAGGTTGGCGTGCATGCCGGTGGGCGGCTCGTTGGTGATCTTAATGGCATTTTCCAGCAGCCCCTGTGGGATGATGTGTGCCTCGGGGCTGGGTGCTGGCTCTGCGCTCATGAACACACGGTAGTCGGGGTGGCTGCCCGTGCTGTGCCGCTCCATGCGCTTCTCCAGCGTGCCCAGCCAGCGGGCCACCAGGTGGATGTTCTGCAACACAAACCCTACGTGTGCTGTGTGCTCTGAAATTCGGTTTCACCCCGGACGTCTGCAGAAGGCAGCTGCACCTCGGGCTGGGGATGCCAGAGGTGTCACCGCTGTGTGGTGATGACTGTGCCCACCTGCAGGATGACCCAGTGCCCCTGTTCTGCCGCCACCTCCAGCGCCTGCTCCGCCACCACCTCCTGGCCCTGCCCCAGCGAGATGTTGTGGATCCTCCCGTTGTCGATGGTGAAGTTCAGCTTCTTGCCTGGAAGGGGAGGAATTGGCTCTTTGTTAGTGCTGATGGGAGCATAGAGCAGCTCCTGCTATGCAGTGCTTCCAAGAGCACTGACCCCACTGCCTGGTGTGATGCAGTGCAGCCGGGACCCAGCTTACCCAGGGCTTCCACGTCCTTCAGAGGGTCGACTCCAGGCGAGAGAATGAAAAACACGGGTGTGGAGGGGCTGGTCTCCTCATACGACTTGGAGAATTCCACACTCCTGCCTTCCACAAACTTGCTGCCCATCTTCTCTTCCACAAAATTCCTGCAGGAAAGCAGCACCCACCCGTGAGCTGGGGACACGTGCTGGCTGCAGGTGGCTGTTGGTGCAATGTGGGCACCTGACAGCGTAGGTCATCCTGTCGGGCCGCATGCAGCGCAGCATGCACAGCTTCTGCAGTGCTGTTTTGTTCTTCCACTCTTTGGGAAACACCTCCTTCTCAGGCACCTCGGACTCAACAAACTTCTTCCATCGCTTGGCGGAGCCCTCGATGTCACTGTCCAGGTTCTTGAACTCATCCATCTCTGAGAGGACCTGCACACACAACTCCTTGCTGGGCGCTGCCTCCCATCTTGGGGGGGATTCACAAAGAGCTGTGTGCTGCAGTGCTGCTGGTTCTGCGTTCCCTCCCCAGGTGCTGCAGCTCATCCTCAACCCACTGCTGTGCTGCGCTTCGGACCATGCCCTGAGCTGGAACCAACCTTGATGCCACCCCAGCCCTGGTGCTGCAGGAAGTCCACGGGGGATGTGACACCGGCCTTGAAAGGGAAGCGCAAGAGGAAATCCAGCTCTGCTGGGCTCACTTCTTTCTTGATGGCCAGCACCTGGTGAGCCAAGAGCACAGGCTGGTGGCTGCTGCACAGGAGCCCCTCCACTCACAGCCCCAGCAAGAAGCTCTGATGGAGGGCAGGGTAGCAAGGGAGTAAAAGAGAATGTGTCTAAAATAACAAATTCACATCCAGTACCAAACATCAGAAACCCAACACATTTGCTCACATTACCTGGAAGGCAACCTGGGCCAGGAAAATGAGTTTGTCCTTCTCAAAGAGCCCGCGGGCGGTGTACATGAAGACTGAGTAGGTGATCTCATCTGTCAGGTTGATCACCCGCTGCCCCACGTCCTCAGCCTGAGCTGTTCGTTGGATGGCTTTCTCGAAGACCACATTGAATGCCTAACGGAGAGCCAGGGTGGGCTCAGTGCTGTGCTTCTGAGAGCTTCGTTAGAGGAGTTAATGATGAAATACCCAACCCCTGCTCCACAGAAAGCGACTGCCGCCTCGCCTTACGCTCACCTTTAGGGAGAACTGGTAGATGGGGTTGATTTTGTTGAGGTCGCTCAGGATGAAGTACAGCAGGGACGCTCGTTCTGCCGCTGGCCGGTAGTTCTCCCTGGCCACGTTTATTTCCACCTCTGTGACTTTGGCTTCATTCACCTTGAGGCACAGGAGTGCAGTGTTACAGCCGTGCCCTGCAGCATCGCCCTGTGCCCGTGCTGCCCAGGTACCTTCTCCTCGATGTCCATGGCCGTGCGCTTTGTCGTCTCCAGGTTCTCCACCAGCGCTGTGTCCCCCAGGAAGTTCCCCGAGGCGGCGGAGAGCCGGGCGAGCAGGGAGTCCTCCAGCTCCTTCAGGTGGATCTTGAACTCATTCTGGCTTTTTGTGAGATTCGCCTGCACACAGCACCCAGGAGAAGTGTGAGCCATGAGCTGTGGTGACGCTGCTGCCATCACTGGGGGCTCAGCAGCCTCAGTACATGCAAGGCATGCAGCC